GACTTCTTCGACGTCATTAAGAAATGACGTGGCTGTGACGTCAGAGTGTTCCGCCAACAATTCGTCGAGGAAAGATGGATCAGTCGCCGCAAGGAAATCATCATTATTGTTGTTGTTGTTGTCGAGATTGTTCTCGAGGATGTTGTTGTTGTGTACGAAGTTGTTGTTGTTGTTGTTGTTGTTGTTGGTTTGCTGCTTAAACATGCTCTGATTAAAATTGGCACTTGACTTGCTGTCACATCTGTTAAGTTTGTTGTCTCTATTATTGTTGTTGTTGTTGTGGTTAATGTTGTTGTTTATATAATTGTTGTTGTTTATAAAGTTGTTGTTGTTGTTGTTGTTGCCGGCATATGCAAACATGTTCTTCTGATCAAAGTTCAAACTATTCTCACTACTTTTACAGTTGACCGACTCCATGGGTGAGGTCATGCTGTTGACGTCATTCAAAGATGCCGAAGTTGATTTTGACAGCAACAACTGTTGCTGATGCTGATGATGTTGTTGATGTAGTGGTTGTTGATGTTGTAGCTGTTGATGTTGCGGCTGTTGATGTTGTGGCTGTTGGTGTTGTGGCTGTTGGTGTTGCTGACGACGACGACGACGTTGATGATTGTTCAAGCAGAGGGAAAGCGTACATCCGTCACGTGACAGGCAGCCGCTGCTGTTAGCGGCTGACGACGGCGTTTTCGGTTGAAAATTAGGCTGCGATTGCTGCTGCTTCAACTGTTCGACCTTAGAAAGTTGAGCGTGCAAGCGAGATGCAACAAAACCACCCGGATGTAACCTTGGCCGACCTACCGGCCTTGAACTTAACCTTTCACCCCTGCCGCGCCCTCTCACGGGGTACGATGTTGTTGACGTTGAAGTAGATGTTGATTTGAAGTCGTTGTGAGAGCCACCGTTGTGGTTGCTGCTGCTGCTGCCTGCACGACCTCTGCCACCGCGCCCCCAATGTTGTTGTTGTTGTTGGGGCATGTTGTTGTTGCTGTTGTTGACATCTTGGTGAGATTGTTGTTGGTGGAAGATAGAGAGGTCGTTGTTGTTGTTGTTGTTGTCATGTAGTGCCAAACTAAGCAAAAATATTAATTAAAATAATTTTTATTTATTTATTCAGTAAGTCATTCATTCATCTATTATTAAATTGTATATCTAACACGCCAATTCGTTCATTCATACAATCATTCATTAATTCATTCTTTTGCCCATTCATTCATTCATCCATCTATCTATCCATACATTCATTCATTCATTCTTTCATTCATTCATTCATTCATTCACCTATCTTTCTGTTTGCTGTTTCCAATGATGGCTTTTACGAGACTGGAGGAGGCGGATCCATTCAACTCTGCGTCATCCAGGCATTCTCTGTGATAGGTGGATGGTTGTTGTTGGTTGGTGGTTGAAAAATTTTGATTGGTAGATAGATGGTTGTTGTTAGTTGGTGGTTGGAGAATTTTGACTGGTGGTTGAGATTTTTGGTGGTTGAGATTTGAATGGGGGTTGAGTGTTTTGATTGGGGGTTGGAGAATTTTGATTGGCGGTTGAGATTTTTGATTGGTGGTTGAGAGTTCTTATTGGTTGATGAGAGTTCTTGATTGTTGGTTGGCAAATTTTGATTGGTCGACGATAATTTTAACTGTTGGTTGAGAGTTTTTGATTGGTTGTTGAAAGTTTTTAAATGGTCATTAAAAGTTGACCAATCATCTCAACAGCATCATCACCAGAATGTCATCACCAACTCACCGGACGATGGAGTGAGTGGACATGATGAAATCGAGTTTGGGATTGGCGGGATTTTTGAAGAGCTGACTTTTCGTCTGCACGAACACGTACCTATCTTCTCTCAGTTTGAACCTGTAGACTCCGCTTGTATTCGTGCCGCTCGTCAGCACTATGGTAATTTTAGGGAAGGGGGGATTATTATTATTATTATTATTATTATTAGTAGTGGTAGTAGTGATAATAGTAGTAGTAGTAGTAGTAGTAGTAGTAGAGGTAGTAGTAGTAGTAGTAGTAGTAGTAGTAGTAGTAGTAGTAGTAGTTAGTAGTAAGTAGTAGTTGTAGTAGTAGTAGTAGTAGTAGTAGTAGTAGTAGTAGTAGTAGTAGTTAGTAGTAAGTAGTAGTTGTAGTAGTAGTAGTAGTAGTAGTAGTAGTAGTAGTAGTAGTTAGTAGTAAGTAGTAGTTGTAGTAGTTGTAGTAGTAGTAGTAGTAGTAGTAGTAGTAATCGTGATGAGGATGATTTAAAAGATGTTGGTTGGTGGTAATATAGAGATAATGATGTTGGTGATAATGATGATGATGATGATGTTAAGCTAGTGATAATGAAGAAAATGATGATGATGAGGATGACGACGATCTTTCTTACTGACCCTCCCTCTGATGTTTGAAGAGCTGCGGTTGTCGTTTGGGTGGCAGGAGTGGTTGATGTTCTGTCCTACCAGGTTCGATGCCCCCACGTTCAAACCGCTGTGTGGGTGAATGAATGAATGAGTGAATGAGTGAATGAATGAATGAATGAATGAATGAAC